ATGAAATACAGATGCTCCTTGAATGACGATGAGATCATGTTCCAAAGTTGAAAATATCGTAAGTCAAAAATTTCATGTAATACCCCGAAAGACCCATTGTAAAGTTGAAAAATGAAACTGGAAGCACTGTAAGTTCAGATTTTCCTCATCTTGCACTAGGGTTACATCCCACTGAATTCAATCTAAAGTCAAAAGCTTGTAAAGTCCAACCATCCTAAGTTGGGGACCATCTCATATAGTCATAGGAAAACCATTTTATCTTTTACCAATTTATTTAATTGTTGATAGTCTGCAGGGCTTCATTTTTTATCTTGTGAGTAGCAGTTTTAAAAACTAAGATTTGTTGTTACCGAAAAGTGGAAAAATGTTTTTGTATATCCACAAATATGTCTGTAATTATACATTTGCAGAGTTGTAAGTTTTTCTTTATTTTTAATCTTCTACAGTAAATAATCCTGATTTTAAGGCTGGTGTGATGGCTTTGGCTAACCTGCTTCAGATTCAACGTCATGATGATTACCTGGTAATGCTTAAGGTCAGCTTCATGTTCTTAATTCTTGACAGAAACTGCATGTAGATAAATGTCTTTATTTTCTAAATATTAACTATTGATATTATGATCGAGTGACTAAAATACAGTAGAAGAATGTGTGATATAAAGCACATTTCATGGTTTTATCTAATTTGGATTGTCTGCTTTGTGCCTGCCACTATGCTAAATCCTTTGCAAAGATGTTCTCATTCAACCTTCCCAATAGTCCTAGAGACAAATGCTATCTTTTAAAAAATATGTATGATATGAAGAAACTGAGACTTAATGAGGATAGGTAAATATGTCTAAAATGACAGAGCCAGGATTTTGAGCGCTGTAACTCTGTGGTCCATTCTTTTTCCACATTACCATACTTCTGCTTAGTTAGTCCTTTTAATGATTCATGGTCTGTATTCATTAAGATGGTGAAAAATGCCAAATGAGTAATGGTGAATTTGGTCAAAAATATATATAACCCCAAAATCTCTTTGAGAAATGAATGTTTCTGTCCCCAATCCTACATAGGCCACTCAGTTGATAACTATACTTCAGGGAGCCCAGTAATCTGAAAGAGGTCTCTTGTTTCTGAGAGAAATCATAAACTTCAAAAGATGTATTCCTAGTAATCATGCAAGTACAGTGGTGTGGATCAGGGGAGTGGTACTTAAGATATCAGACTTGGAAATTATTTTAGAAATTATTACTGATTTTACAGGAGATTAAAAGCTAGACCTTGTGCATGTAAACTACTTTGTAATAAGTTGAATAATTAAATTTCACTCTACCCAGAAGAGATAAAGCCATAACTTAACATGCTTTTTAGATTTTTATGTACTAAATATCAGTTTTGACAAGACTGTTGTAACCCTAAGTTACTAAAATTTTCTGTACTGTATCTGAATGTTAACTTGGATTTTCTCAAGACAGATTGCATGCCAAAAGACAAAAATGTTTGTAGTGAAATTTAGCTATTTCAAAGGCTTGTTCTTTATTCAGACAATTGTTAATTGCCTTGGAACAGTTCTACAGTGATCATGTAAGCTTTAATCATAAAGTAAGTGAAAGGAGAATCAGACAATGGATAGCATATTTGGGGTGCTTTTGTTAGACTTCAGAACCCAAGGGGATAAAGTATAAATCAGCTAAAACAGAAAGCTATAAAATTCTAGTCCTAGCTGCACATTTGTTCCTTTTGAGTTATTTTAAGAAGCATTCAAACAGTAACACAATATGGAAAACATCTTAGTACATTTGTCAAGTACAAGAATCAGTATATTAACTGTTTGGCAACCAGACTATTTAATATGTTTGCAGTTGCTGTTAAACATTGTTTGAATTCTCTTTTTCAAAGATAGCATTCGGTTTTTTCATTTAAAGTTTTCACACTTATTTTTGAGTTGTAACTGTCATCTCTCTAAAATTCCATTTTTAAAAAATTTGATTTTTAAGTGTGTATGGATACTTGCATGTATGCATGCCATAATGAAATGCCTTGGTGATTAAAACCACCAACAGTGTCCTTTGAAAGGTAAGAAAATACTTGAGTGAAGTGATAAAAGGAAAGCGTAAGACAGTATGCATGATCTGCTACCCTTTGTGTCAAAATGTGTATTCGTGCAGAAGCATGCTCGTTATTTCACAGTTTTAGTGTGAGCATACATAAGAATCTGTAGGCGATCACAGGGCTAGGAAGGAGACCTACTTTTTGCCATGTTTCCTGCTGTGTTTAATAGGCACATGCATTACCTATTCAAAAATAGTTTTAATTGTTGTAAGCATCACTCAACATTAGTAAAATACTAGAAGTGTGAAAGGTTACATTATATTAGTGGTTTGTTTTTTTTTATTTTTAATTTATTGGAGAGTTTATTAATGAACTAGGTAATTCTGACTTCATCAAATTGAGCATCCTTATTCTCTAGGCTCATAGAAGAAAGGATGACAGGTAAACAACCAAGTGAAAATCTTTTTGGTTTCTTAGGCAATTCGAATTTTGGTTCAGGAGCGCCTGACACAGGATGCAGTTGCTAAGGCAAATCAAACAAAAGAGGTATGTTTCTAACAGTCCTAAATAAGGTGTTCAACATTTCTTGTGCTATTGCCATGATTTTAAACTTTACATGTATCTGTTTCAGATATCCATTCTACATACACAGCTTAGAGAAAGCATAGCTTACTTCTGTACTTAGTAAAGCAAATTGAATGTATTCTGTGGCTGGGGGGTCATTTTTGAGTGAAAAACAAACTTCACCTTCATCTCACTTCGTACCTTAGAAAGCTACAAGTAGCTCATCCACAGTCCAGAAATCATGCTTGTGGCCTGTTGAAGTTTATTTAAAAGTATTTACCTTTATGAAACTTATTTGATTATTTTGACTCATGCTGGAGAAGAAGGAACACACTTCAGTACAAATTAGTTTTTTTTTTTTCCATCTAAATTCTATTCTTGTTCTTATTTCTTCAGAGTAAATTATTGTTTCGTTCAATTTCCTGGCATAAAACATGAGAAAGTAATTTGGCTAAGGTCACCTAGTTGGTAAGTGATTGAGCTCAGGCGACTAGTCTGATTTGAGAGCCTGTGCTCTAATGGTGGATGGGGACAAGGGTCCATGCCTGCATCTCAGCATGAGCTTGTCAATCTGCCCAAGTGAAGAGATGGGGGGTTCTGTTGGAGTGTAAGGTTCAAGGTACAGATGACTGAAATGGTATCTTTCAGTCCTACTTTGTAGGCCGAGAAAGCTGTATCACGTGACTACCTTCCCCTTAAAGAGAAAATACATGCTTCTGGAGTATTTTTAGATTATATCAGATATCCAGATGTGCCTAAAGTTTCATTGGCTGTGCAGCAGTGGAGAGACTGTCCTCCAGTATCTGGTAACACCTCCCTCCTGCAGCAACGAGGTTGTAGTGAATGCCTTGGGCACAACTATGTGTTTTGTCCTCCCTGCACCCTTCCCCCTTCTCCCAATGTGTTTTGTCCTCCAACCCCTTTAGGCAGGCCCAGAAGTGTTAAAAGGGTTACTAATGCCAGGGCAGTATTTCTGAAAGACACTGTTTTCTTTTAAAGGTTCTTATTGGCTTATTATGTATGAATCGGGCCACTGGAAGTTGCATTAAAGATCAGCTTATGTCACCCACACTATGGGACAGACAGTAAATTGTTCTCTTGTAATAAAATCATTCATTCATTCATTCAGCAAACTATGTCTGCTTTGGAAGGCACTGTAAATAAAGCCTTAGCCAAATCTCTTTACTCTTGTTTGAAAGTAAAATCTAGTAATGCTCCAAATCTTAATCTTGGTGTCATCTCAAAAGACAGCAGCCTCTGATTTAGTGGCATTCTTATAGTTTAGTGTACTTGTAACCATTCATAAACTAGTATTTGAGGCATGTGGTAGTTTTCAGGGGTAGCTGTTCTTGGTGGTCTCTTGGCAGACAAAGGAAAAAAGCAAGCCTCTGGTATAGATGAACATATAAAGCCATTCAGTACAATTCTGCTCTTTAATTTTGCTCACTGTGCTTTCTTGCCCGTGGTTTCTTCCTTTACATCTATTAGCTGTTTTAAAGCAGATGGAGCCGAAGTACATATACCTTACTAGATAAGGCAAAAATTAAGCAGTGATTAAAGCATTTGAATAGTAACAGGTTTTAACATTGGAAGTACGGGTAGTGTGTTTTTTTTATTGGCAGTGATTTTTTTCCCCTAACCCATTGAAATAGGGAAAACTCGCTGATCACAAGACAGATCTAAACAAAACTTAGTTCCCTTGCTCGTGCAGCTAAAAGAGGTAAAACACTAGAATAGGTAGGTGCATTTCAGTTTTAGCGGAGAAAAGAATGTTATTGGTAACTATATTCTTTTGTTTTTTAAGGGCTTGCCTGTTGCTTTAGACAAACATATTCTTGGTTTTGACACGGGGGGTAAGTGATTGATTTTAAATTCAAACTATTTTTTTTAGAGACTGAATACCTGAGGAAAATTAATAAATGACCTTAAATGCAAAAATTACATATTGAAGCAGTGTTCTTTTCTCATAACACAGATGCAGTTCTTAATGAAGCTGCTCAAATTCTGCGATTGCTGCATATAGAAGAGCTCAGAGAGCTACAGACAAAAATCAATGAAGCCATAGTAGCTGTTCAGGCAATTATTGCTGATCCAAAGACAGACCACAGACTGGGAAAAGTTGGAAGATGAACACCTCAGGACTTCTGCTTCTCACCTACTTCGTACAGTTGGGAACCATGTACACTTCTGGCATGTCTGGAAATCAAAACGTCACATTCTCGGGGGAGGAAGCCCAGAAAATTGGGTATGTTCTAGAGATTTACCACCATTGCTTTTTTCTTTAATAAAGTTGAGGAAAGTAGAATTTTTATTATGTACTGTATGTTTACATAAATCTTCTTTCTCCTTTGTGGTTAAGGTATATGCCAACCCCCACCTTTGTCCTAGAGACAACGTAGATCATAGGAAAACTTAAAATGTTTTATTGGAGTAATCTAGAAAATTTTTAAACTGTTACATCTTTGGTATTAATAAAATGTAATACTTTCTGTGGGTACTTCTATAGAGGCACTTACAGGATCAGATAATACAAATTGAATCATTTTAGCACCTTGTGATATAAATAGAAATGTATTGATGCAGAGGTTAAAAAAAAAAAAATCTTAGAACTTTGGTTGGGAAACTATAAATAATTAGTCCTTTCCCATGAGTTCTGCATTGGCTTCTCCAACTCTTAAGGTTTACGATTGTATCTTTATATTGATCACATGTGCTTTAGTTTCTTGGCCAGAAATCATCCATAGCAAAAATCAGATTTAGAATCTTAAACTCTTAGTTGTTGAATTTGACCTTTTAAATACAGTATAAATGTTTACAAGAAGTCGCTTTAAAATTCTATTGCCTTTTTAAACTTGCAATAACAACCTTCATTTTTAGAAATACAGTAGTAAAGATTGAGGTATAAACTTTTCACAAAAGTCTTTTTGCACTAAAAAATGTTCATCTTGTATGTTCAGGAACGTGTAATGGCCTATTCCTTTTTTACTTTCTTTGCCTTTGCAGTCACTGTTCTTTAAGGTCCAGGTTCTGACTGTAAACTCCATGTCTTTACGTTACTGTATTTACTTTCTTCCTGTGAGAGAGGAGAAACTGGGGGGTGAGTGTATTGTAACCAAGTTGCAACAGCAAGTCTTTTGTATATAGTTAAGCTAGGTAGATTTAAGGCAGTAAAGACTGGCCGTCCCCCATGTAGTGGCCATTAAATTTCCCAGCTCAAAAGTGGTTCTCGGAGCAGTAAGAAGGCAATGATGGCAGTGTCACAGACAGCAGGGGGAATCAAGTATCTCATATATCCCTTCTCTACCCTGCTAACTTAAAGGAGCATCCTAAAGCATGTTTTACCTGTTGGGCAGTAAGGGTAGACCACAGTTATCCCGTAAAGGTGAGATCGCTGTTCTGGGAGATACTCATCAGTAAACTGGCCACTGTCTTTATTTACTGCTACAACACCATCCCTGGTAACAGAAAGGAAGAGTGAATTTAGGGAGAGTCACTAGATTTAAAAAAAAAAAAAAAAGGTCAGCTACAAAAAAGTCAGTTTCAGTAGAGGAAAATTTCTGCCAGCCTTCTCTGTCCAAGGGGTGATGCTAAAGCCACACTGAAGCTTGAGGACCACTGCTCTAAATCCATTGTTCATTCTAACTGCATGTTAGAATCACATGATGATGATCTATCAAATTGGATTTGTAGGCCACGGGCTAAAGGGCTTAGATTTTCAATGTTCCACAGTTCCGCAGGTGAAAACTAGTCTAAATAGTATTTTTTGGTCTGTCAGACAACATGTCCACAAGTGTCAAAGAAAAACCAATTTAAGCACTATATCTAATATAGCTCATGGTATTACTTAAGGGTAGTCACTTATTCTCTGAAGAACATATTTAGATTATTTATCAAAAAGCTTTGCTACCTTTTTTTTTTTTTTTTGAGACGGAGTTTCGCCCTTGTTACCCAGGCTGGAGTGCAATGGCGCGATCTCGGCTCACCACAACCTCCGCCTCCTGGGCTCAGGCAATTCTCCTGCCTCAGCCTCCTGAGTAGCTGGGATTACAGGCACGCGCCACCACGCCCAGCTAATGTTTTGTATTTTTAGTAGAGACAGGGTTTCACCATGTTGACCAGGATGGTCTCAATCTCTCGACCTCGTGATCCACCCACCTCGGCCTCCCAAAGTGCTGGGATTACAGGCGTGAGCCACCGCGCCAGGCGCTATGCTACTTTTAAGCTATATGTGAGCAATACTGTTCAATTTCTGGGTGAGGTAAAAGGATGATTTCAAAAATGTCAAAGGATGGAAGGAAACATTCTTGAAGGATCTTATCTGCCAGTGAGGAGAGGTATTGAAACAAAAGCCTCAGAGCGCTTAATTAGGAAAGTCACTTACTGACTTGTAAAGCAAGTGGCATGTTCTCTGGAATAGTTGGCCTTTTCAGGCCTGACCAGAATGTGTGAGGCTCACCTCCTCCAGTCCGTGTGGTAGAAGTGGTCTGCATAGCTTACAATGCCAAAGGGGTACTTGAGGTTGTTTTGAATGACACGCCGTCCAGTTCCATCAGGTAGTGTGCACTCCAGTTTTTTGGTTCCTTTTAAAACAAACGGAGAAAAGGAGATCATTTCACACTATGGAGTAACAAGCTGCTTTGCCAAAAATGATAGTGACAGACTCCTTCTCTAAGGAAACAAGGGAAGAATGGGAAATAGGATATTTTATTTCCATTGCAGTCATAGGTTAGCAGCAGTAAATTTACCTAGACTATTACTAGGCTCTAGTTTGTTGGATAACATTCCCGTTTTTAGTAGAGATTCAAACTTTCAGTCCTTTTTTGGAAGACAGAATTGCATTTACTGAAATCTGATAAGTTTCTGCCACAGTAGGGTATTAGACATATTTTTATAATTTGTGTTATTTCAGGCCTTAGCTTATAAATTATAACATCTGGGTAAATACTTGCCCTTTGTAAGCAATGTGTTAATGAAAATTCTTACATATTTTAAAAATATTTTCTAGCTAGGAAGAAAAAAGCAACTAAAGTGGTAACATAACTCATACTTCAGTGTAAACGAATCAGTCTTAAAATTTTTACTGTAGCTATTTCAATAGAGCCCCGATTTAAATTTCAAATACTTTTCAGAAATGTAACTTGTTTTACACAACTGGGTTATAAAGGTGACCTATCTGCATTATAGGCCCTTTTATTAGATTACAAATTCTTCAAGAACAGTTTTTATATTCTTTAGTGAAGAACTAGACACACAGCATTTTTTTCAATTGTGCTGATAAACAAAAGCAAACAAATGTGGGTTGCTAATGCCCAGGTCATTACTGAAGGAAGCCACCTTGCTACAGTACTTTTCAAAGAATGTCCTTAGCATTATAACAGATGGTTATAGTGATCCTCTTCCCCACAAGAAGAACAGTTTCTAGTCATTGAAGTTTGTCAGTTCAACAGTGGCTAATATTTAACTGTTAAGAGTATGCCAAGCACTCATGGTCAGGCAAGCAGTACAAACTGATTTAGCCTTCCTTCCACCCAAACCCAAGAAAGTTCATTTTTAAGACTCATTTAAGAACAGTATTTAAAAGTTTACAGACAAAAGAAAGTAGATTATGTGCTGTAATCAATGTGTTTAAACCAAAATATCTAAGTGTTGGGATTTGATTTTATAGTAAAATCTGTTAGTGCTCACACTCCTGTAATAAGGGGCTTTCTATTTGCATTCCATCGGTAGTATTACCTGCATCTGCCCAGCAGAGCAGTTTGGAGAAAGAGTCAAAGGTTAAGGCATTGGGTAATCCAATGTCTGTATTGATCAGAATTCTTCTGTTTTCTCCATCTAAAGATGATGCTTCAATTTTAGGAGCTTCTCTATTCCAGTCTGTCCAGTACAAGTTGCTGTAGATAAAATAACAATCAAGATTATAAAAGAATAGCTATGTAGCCTGTGGTAGGCAGCATCTAAGCAGCCCCCGGTGATCCCCATCTCCTCATATATTACAGCCTTAAGCAATCCTCTTGAGTTTGGGCTGCATTTAGTGTCTTGCTGCTTCTAGTGAAGAGCATATAGCAGAAGTGATGGGCTATCATTGCCAGTAGTAGGTTTCAAACTGGCTTCTGCCTTAGGTGCTCTCTCTTGCTCCCTTTGAGGGAAGCTGGGTGCCCTGTTGCAATCTACCCTATAAAGAGGAACATGTGCCAACGAACTGACGTTTCTGGCCAAAAGCCCTTAAGGACATGAGTCCTGCCTGTGGCCCATTTGAGCATGCTTGGGCTGTATTCCCCCAGCTGAGCCTGGAGAACACTGCAGTTTGGCCATTACCTTATTGCAAGAGACTCCATGCCTGGGGAGCTCAGTTAAAGTACACTTGGATTCCTGACTGACAGAAACTGAGACTAAACATTGTTTTAAGCTGCTAAGGCTTGGGCAATTTCTTACACAGCAGTAGGTAAGTACACACAGCCATATTTCACTTTTACCTGCATCACAAGGTTTTCTGATTATTGTAACTATGTGGAAGAAGTCATTACTAAGTTCCTGTCACAATCCCTGCCTCCCAGATACCCCTGATTCCACTGACCCAAAACCCTCCATTGCTTGAAATCTTGAATTGGATCTTGGGTTTACAATAGAAATACAGCTGTTAGGAATGGCTTTGATAAAAACTATGGAACTTGAAGAGATGTGGACCAGGGATTTGAGAAAGAAACAGTTATTTTCCTCTCCCAAAAATACAATTTGGTACTTGCTGAAGGGGAATCTCAATTGTTCTGTACCTGGCACCCAGAGATGGAAACATTTTAAGTGAAGCACTTTACCTTTTAAATGCCATGTTAAAAATGAAAGATATTCCTAACAGATGCTGACTAGGAAATAATATGGTCCTGTTAAGTGGAAACAGGTTATTATAAGAAAACAAACAGGTTTATAAGTTAGAGCATAAATAATTTTGAAAGCTCTTTCATAAAATGCTATTTTATAAAAGTTGTAGAAGCTTTGAATAAATCCCTTGAGGTACAGAGAACCTCAGTGAGAAGACAGAGACGAAGAAACTATAGATTTCCCCTGTTGTGAATTTCCTCCCTTATGCCCAATAGATGAAGCGGAGAAAAGCTGAAAGCAAAAGCCAAAAAGCAGTTTCCACTTTGCCCTAAGGTGGAGGTGGCCAGAGGGTGAAGCATGTATATCATTGTTTCATCCCTTCTGATCAGTCTCCTCCCCAAAATGATTTAATACCATTGAAAACAGTATGTCCAGAACAAGCTCACACATATTTGGTGTAAATTATTTGGGGAGTGCCAGAGAAAGATTATAAAGGTGAAATCTGTAGAAAGCAAATGAGAAATATCCAGGAAAGCTTGACAACCATTCCGCTAAGCAGTTGAGGGAGATTTAATTACATACATTGAAACCTGGTTCGAGGGGGATTTTCTTTTCGTTAAAAATTTTTAAAGTCCTTTAGCATTGCCTGGATAAGAAACTCCTATCTTCATCTTTAAACTCATGGCTGTGTTGTGGATTTCAGCTTAAAAGTATGCTTTTTCCCCAGACCACGGAGATACGACCTAGGTATCATTGCTCACAAAATGGCAGCTCTCCCCAGTTTTCAGATCAAGCACCCAGAAGGAATGAGGGGCTGGGTACAATGGCTCACAACTATAATCCCAGCACTCTGGGAGGCCAAGGCAGGTGGATCACCCAGGGTCAGGAGTTGGAGACCAGCCTGGCCAACATGGTGAAACCTTGTCTCTACTAAAAATACAAAAATTAGCTGGGCGCGGATGGTGCGTGCGTGGAATCCCAGATACTTGGGAGGCTGAGGCAGGAGAATCGCTTGAACTTGGGAAGCAGAGGTTGCCGTGAGCCGAGATTGTGCCACTGCACTCCAGCCTGGGCGACAAAGTGAGACCTTGTCTTTAAAAAAAAAAAAAAAAAAAAAAAAAAAAGGACCTTCCAAATATCAGAAAGAGAAGCCTAAGCCTATAGAAAGTTTTTAAGAGGGCTATTAATTCCTGTGGCTAAGTCAACTGGAATAGAGAAAGATACACCTTTCCCTGTATGTAGAACCCTAAGCTTGGAAACACCTTGGAGGCTCTGTACTAAGTATTTCAGAGTCAAAAAGCACTTACCTGCAAATTAAAGCTGAAGGTTTGCTTTTACTGATTTGAAGAGCATCTAGGAATTTCATTTGGTAGAAACTCCACTTAAATATGGCAAGAGTTTCTCAAGATACAAAAATTCTCCCTGGTTCTAACAAGTACAGAAACACTGAACAAATACTCTATCAAATTTAATGACCTTAGCAGTTATCACAGATGGAAAATGTTTATCTTAATTTCTGCTATAGTAACATGGAGGCATCTGAACTTTGGTTAATGATACTTGATGGAGGTCAGCCCTACTGTGGGCTTCACCAGTGGTTTATAAATGTGCTGCTGAAGGAGTCCCACTTCACTTCCAGTTAAGTGTCATCTGAGGCCTTGCCTGACCCAGCGTAACCCCTAGTTCTCACCACTATTGCTTATATGCAGTCTTATTTACTCCTAATAGAATATAAGTGCCATGAAAGAACAAACCTTGTCTTTTCCTAGAACAGATCCTGACACCTACTAGATCCTTAGTAAATCTTTGTTACATGAATGCATTTGAGCTTCTGCTCTTGTTCTGGCCTTCCCCACATTGCAATTAAAACCCAGGGGCTTCACAGCAGGATCTACAGGTAAGAGGAGTTTAGGGGAGCCCAGCTAACCCTCGGATTGGATCCACAGCGATGGCGCGGGGATTCACCAGATCTGTATGGAAGAGGACCCTGCGCTCAGAGCCATCCAGCTGGGCCCTCTCTATCTTATCCAGGACACTGTCCGTCCAATACATTGTTCTGCGGATGTGGTCGATGGCAAGTCCTTCGGGGCTTATCAGACCTGGAAGTAAAGCAAAGTCAGGACTGGAGTGTTTGCACGGCATGGAGGACCAACCTGAAGCAGAAAGATGTGTTTTAACAGCTGGTAGGGGAGAGGGGGGACAGGGAAACAAGGCCCAGGTGTCTCAAGAACCAGGGTAATAGAGAAACAGGTACTTCTGTTACGTATTCTACCTCTCGCTTCTGGACTAACAGACCTACTAACTTGACACCAGGTGTCCACAGTGCCAGAGGAAGGCTGAACAGACTTAAGGCCACACCCTGAATTCTGACCATGAATCCTTTTCTTTTGAAAAGTGCTTACAGTAGGAATCACCTATTTCTTTCATTATGTATGAAGATGTTTGCTTAAAGGGGGGCTGGTCTTAATACAGCTCAATAAAATGACTTGCCTAGAACTTAACCTCCCCTAGTGAAGAAAAATCAAGGGGAAACCAGTGTAAAATAGACAAGTGACTTCATAGAATCAAATAAAATGCAGACTCTGCTGAGTTAAGCTGCTGACCTGAATTCACAATCGTCTCAGGTTCTGCTCCCAGTTCCAGACTGACACGGCTGATTGTCCGTCCAGTAACATCTGTCCAGTACACCATCCTCTCCCGGCAGTCGTAATCAATTCCCACAATGATGGAGCCCTTTGCACCAAATCACAGAATTAGAATAATGAGGTTACATTCGCCTTTGTTCACAGTCGGCCGCCTTGCTCATGCACAGCTGCAGTAAGCAACCCTGCACTGTGATCCTGCAGGCAGCACAGCAGAGTGGCTGCACACGTGGGCACTCGGGTCACACCCCAGCTCAGCCACTTATTAGCTATGTGGCTTTGGGCATTTTACCTCTCTATGCCTTGGTCTCATTTGCAAAATGAGGCCAATAGTGTACCTGCTTCATATGGTTGCTACAAAAATTAATATAAATGCTTACTGTATACCAGTCAGTAATTCATAATAGCACCTATTGAAGGGCTTACTGCACTGGTACAGTAAGCCCTTATGACTGATGGTTAAGAAGAAAAAATCAGCCCCTTCAGTAATTAGAGTGCCTTAAGCAAAATAAATTGTTTGTTAGCATTCTACTGGGTAAAAACTGAATCCTTTCCCAACCAATATCATCAGCACTTTTCAAAGAGCCTTAATAAAATTCGCCACTAAATGCCAACAAAATCTACTCTCCCTCTGTGAATGTGAAGAGATCTTTCCTCTACCTGAAGTGCAGTCACTTCAACTGCTGCCCCTGACTTGGTTACATTCTGCATTAAAGTATAGCCAAGTACAGTGACTCATGCATGTAATCCCTGTCCTTTGGGAGGCCAAGGCAGAAGGGTTGCTTGAGCCCAGGGGTTTGAGACTGAGCAACATAGTGAGACCCTGTCTGGAAAAAAAGAAAAATTAACTGGGCATGGTGGCATGCACCTGTAGTCCCAGCTACTCAGGAGGCTAAGGTGGAAAGATCACTTGAGCCCATGTGGTCCAGGCTGCAGCAAGCTGAGATGGTGCCATTGCACTCCAGCCTGGGCAACAGAGCTACACCTGTCTAAGAAGAAAAAAGTCTAATTATTATGTTAAGGAACTAGGGAGTGGTGGTCCTCCAACCTCTGGCTAGTGAAGTCTCTCCTCCTCCCTTATTGCTAAATAACTGACAGTCTTTAAAAAAGAAAACAATTGCTGAGTCTGTTATTTTTCCTCAACTCCATGCAGAACTTGCTTCATTTAGTTTCCAATCCAGGCTCCTGCTCTAAGAAACCCAGCAGATGTGCAAAGCCAACATTCAGCGGTCATCTGGCTGCCCCTGAGGTCACACCAGTTCCTGCCTTGCCTAACAGAGTCTCGAGGGGCTTGGCTTCACTTACCCCCCCTGGGAGAGTAGTCAGCACAAGAAAGATTATGCAAAGCAGGATTTGGCTCCTGTGGAAAAACAGGCAGCTTATGTGGGGGGACCTAAGGTCAACTACACTTTTATTTGAAAATTAAAATTAAAATGTCATTTGTCCCAGGCAAGAGTACACATTTAAATGAGCTTCCATTAACCTGGGGCATAATGGGATTCATAAACCCATGTCATAATCTCAAGGTTAGAGAAAAAGTCCTAGTTTAAGTAAATTTCTTTAAAGTATGCACATAACCCATGTTCCATTTCTGTCACTTCCACTGCCACTACCATCACCACCCTGTCCCCGGCAGGGGCATGTTCAGAAAGGCACTCAAGCCATATGACTTGAATAAAAGAGGGTTAGCTTCAAGTGATGACAACTTCTTAGTCTCTACCTCTTCCAGAGGTTTTACAAACAATGTGCGAGTCCTTGGGGGAGGTGACAGGAGCCCTTGAATCTTAAAAGGGACACATCTCTTCTTAAACACTGGCTTCTAAGCTTTTCTGGAACCACATTAAGTAGTGCACTAACAGAAGTAAATACAAACATGAACACCATACTATTTCTACGGATAAGCAAGTGCCTGCACCGTCAAGTTTTACAATGAAGATGATCTCCCACTGTCGATGCCGTTGTAGAGCGCCACCTTCATGTTTCCCCATTTTCGAAAAGAAAATCCTCTCCCCAAAATGGGGTGCTTTGCATTAGGGAGGCTGCTGACTCAGGAAGCATCAAGCATCCCCTGGGGAAGGCTCTGTCCGCTCCTCTCCCAGGGTCACACACTCCCAAGTTTTCATTTTTGGAGTCAGGGAAGGTTAGGAAAGAAGTGGGTCAAAGTGGCAGAACCCAAGCGAGAGGCTGCAATAGTGAGGCAGTCATTAACTGACTTCCACTTGGGAGACCCCAGCAAATCGCAGAGACCACACCTTGTGGCTGGGCTAGTCCCCCTGTCACTTTGACTTCCAGGATTTCTATGGAGACATTGTGAGGTGAGAGAACCCTGGTGACTTAGGGTAACAGTCTGTCCATTTTCCCTTGGATCACCATGCAGCCTCCATATCCCGACAACTCGAAAGTTCCCTTTCCATACAACTGAAACCACGTGAAGCAACGAGAGAGCACAGCCTTGGTCAGTGACAGGTAACTCCCAGCAACAAAGATCCCTGGTTCTGTGGTGCTGGCTTCGGGCCCATTCCGATGGGCTGCAGCCCAGAAACCGTCCAGGACTTCCCTGCACCAGGGCCTCTGAAGTGGCTTCCACTGGGAAAGACACGTAGCTCCACTCCCTGCCCCCCACCCCCCGCGCGCGCACACACACCCACACACACACACAGGGGAAATCCACTTTACATGCAGAGACAGCAGGGTCTTGGCTGCATCTTTCTGAAGCCTCGTGCCATTGAGGGGTAAGTGGCCGATCTTCTGGCCCTGGGTATAGAGCAGGAAGGTGCCCACGGATGGAGGGGTCACATCTGGCCGGGGTGTGGGCCGGACTGTGGGTGGAGCGACGGTAGGTATACCTGTGGGATGGAGGGTGGAGAGGAGGAAGGGAACAAGGGCAGGCAGGGAGACAGGAAGAAAAGTTACTTTCCCAAATGCCAGAGCCTCCAAAATATCAAAAGTTCTTCACCCTACCCAGATGTGCTCCAGATGTTCTTCAAAAGAAATTCTGATTTCTAGGGTTTTTATTAAAGGATCAGTTACGTAAATCTGCCATTTACTAGGGAAGAAGACAGCAAAACACTTCCCTACTTCCCTCAGAACAAAGCAGAACAGGTTTTTTTGGGTTTTTTTTTTGTTTGTTTTTTGTTTTTTTCAAGAGAGGGGAAAAAAAAACAAAACAGAGCTAGTATTGTGTCAGCTTCTTTTTAGGACTCCAGAGTGACACGTGTCCCCTGTCACCCTGGGCTGGGGAGGAGGAGTAACTGCTGAACGAGTTCCAGATGTTCCAATTATGGAAACTGCCAGTGACAAAAACCAGACACCAAACGCAAATTGGGATCTTGCGTGGACCAGATTATAAATCAACATAGCACATAGTGACTTCTTTAATTAGACCTGGTGACCCCCCATGTCCCCCCACTTCACCACAGCTGGCAGCATCCCTAGCAAAGGCCTCAGATGCAGCTGAGGGGAGCGGGGGCCGGCCTGGTGCTTACACGCAGGGGTGATGCCTGGCTGGGAGCGCGTCCCCTGCACCTCTCTGCCGTCTTTGTCCACACACCAGCAGAAGTCACTCTTTCCATGGCACTGCAAGGGGACGAAGTGGCCCAGGTCATCACACTGGGGCACGTACTGGTCGTCCCGGGGGCTGCCACCATAGTGCTCCAGCAGGTTTTCCCTCCATCGCTCACAGACGGTCGGGGGCCTCTGGGTGGGCTCTGAGCAGAAGGGGAAGAGGGAAGAAGAAAAGCCTTTGATTGTGAGCCAAGGACAGAATGCAAAATGCAGCTCGAGACCCCACACGCCTGGCCTCCTGGCCTTCCTTTTCCTACCCTCCAGGTCTCGGCCAAGCCCGTGGACACCCAACTTGGGAAGCAAATGTGTTCTAAGAAGTTCTCTATCATGGGAATCAGAGATCATCTGATGCTTCTTTTTTGCCAGGAGGGTCTGTTATCAAGGCCCAGCCACATCAAGAAAGAACAAAGAGAAGATCAGCAGTGCAGCTGCCTCAGCCTGGGAAGGGGCATAATCTCCCTCTGGCCGGGAGAGACCCACAAGGCCCCTCCTGCCTGCACCTTGGGTGCCTCTGCTGACTGAGCACTTATGCGGGTGATCCTTGGGGACTCAGGGGTCCCGGTGATGCTTAAAGCCAATTTTTATTCTTTCCCCACTTGCTTCCAGTTCCAGGACCTGGTGGGGAGAGGGCCATCTTGAGACTGGACAATGTGTGTCTTAGAAAGTATTTGGAAAGCCCAGCTCTGCCACGGCACCCCTCTGTATCTACCCATTGGAAAACTATAGAGTAAAGGTAACACCGAGTGGAATTCCTAGTGAGGGACAGCAGAGGTGGTGGCAAACAGCTTCAAAGTGGTTCTTACACAGCTCCGTTTCCAGAAGTGCTTTAGCCACCCTGTGCCTGCGATTATCTCAAAGCTGAATCTTCCCGCAGGCTCTAGCTTCCTGCCATGCTGCCTTTCGCCCTCTTTCTCCGGCATCCTCTCCTCTTGTCCCCTGCCTCACAGCTCTCTCCAGGCTAAAGTCCCGCTGGCTTCGGTCGCAAAGCAGTTCCCTCCCAGGCTGCTTCCACAGGGCTATTGAGGCTTAGTCCAAAACACGGGTGGTTTGGGGAAGGCTCTGGCTGCAGCAGGTTATTGAGATAACTTGTACATTCATGACAGGACTACCTAAAGGAACGTCAGCAAGAGGAGGTGCTTCTCCTTCCTTTCTAATTCCTGCAGCTTAAAGCCTGTGGTCTGCAGAATCACAAAGCCAATAACCCTACTTGCCGCCACCACTTAGATGTGTAACAGAAATGAGAAACTAACAAACTGAGCCCGTGCCTTCACCATCAAACCAGCTCTTCCCCTAGTCTTTCCTATATGAGTAAATGGCACCTCCATTTTTCCACTGCCCAGACCTGATTACCCTTGACCCTCTTTTCTCTCACCATTGACATCTGATACATCGAAAACTCTTTTTAACTGTGCCTTCAGAATCCACTCAGAATATCTTTACTTCTCACCACTCTACCCCCTCACCCTGGTCAAAGCCTCATTCTCTCCCTGGGATTTCTTTAACGGCCTTCCCACTGGTTTTCCTGCTTCCACCCTTCTCTGTCCTCTCTCTCTCCAAAACCAGTGTCAACTCAATTAGCAGCAGCCAGAATGGCCCATTTAGAACACAGAGGCATTTCCTGTCACTCCGCTCAAAACCCTCCAATGACTCCAAAGAACAAAGCCGGGAACCTTATGATTGGGCTCTAGCACCTGCAATCCCTCTGGGAACATGGAAGACTGTAAATGAAGTCAGAGCTCAAATCCAACTAGCTTGACTGCATGACTCACTAGAGTTCGGGGAAGCCAATGCCATTTAGTTGTCTCTGTAGCTCGTGACCCATGGAAGGCAAAGCTCTTCTTAAGACCCCGTGAAGAAGGTAAGACTGACTTCTTCACCCAAATGGGTCTCAAGGAACACAGAGAGGGAAATGCTACTTCCTCAAACATGGCAGGGTTCCCTGGAGAAGTTCCCAGCTCCACCCCTGCTCCACATTCTGAACTCCAAGGATCCATTTTTGCTTTAAGGGACCACACTGTGCTGTGTGTCTGCATTCCACACAAAGAGACGTGCCTAACTGCTGGGAGATGGGTGTCTCTAATCACTCACACAGGGGCATCCCTTTCATTTGTTACTATTTGCAGCTACTTTTCAACCCAACCGCAGATTTCTTTCCCTTCCACTTCTGGTTGGCAGGGGTCTAAGTATTTTGAAATCCTGGGCACAGAGCATCCTCACCCTCCCTCAAGCTGACCCCATCACACAGATGACACCAGTCAGAGACAGCAGCCAGGGCCAAACCAGCACCGAGAGAGGAGTGTGGGCAGGCTGAGTCTCTTGGTTCCCCTTTAAATCACTGTCCTTAACACACGCTTATCTAATACATTTAAGCAAATTCTAAACCATTCCCCAAAGGCACCCCCCAACCATCTGATTTCTTCAAATCCCAGATGGAGTAAGAACCAAGACATTTCAAAGAGAAGGCATGAGGGAAATAGAATTTCTTTGAACTTTTTTGCATGTTTAAAATCTCTTCCTAAAAATAGAAACAAAGAGGGACTATGGAACAAGCCATTACCATTTTTACCTACGTGGATCTGGGAACCACTAAGTCCTGGTCATAACAATTAACGTTATTAAAAGGGAAGAAACCTATTGGTAATTCTCCAGTTCTTCTTACTCTCACACATTAAAAGCCAAGAGTAGTATTTATGGAACCCTTCCTGATAGTAAAAATGGATCTTTGGATATTAAGCTGTAAAGGAATCGTTATGGCTAAAATGGTATCAAGACAATCTGCTCTTCATTAAATAAAGTTCTTCTGTAATAACTAAGGAAAATAATTTTACCTATCCCTGAATAATTCAACAAGGAACAGAAAGTTGCCTTATCTGCCTGCTGTCGGAATCGACTGTGAACACTGGATCACCACGCCCCACCCAGATGGTAGCAGACATGTTCTCACATTGAATGGGCTAACACAAACCAGAAGCCTGTGCCTCTTCAGAGATGGTGGGCTAGACAAGAGAGGGCTGAGACTGTCAGGTTACAGAAAACTAGCTGGATCCACTGGCAGGTATCATTTTTCTTATTTTTCCTACTGATATTAACAGCCTTCATACCATTTCCTATAATTCAGAAGGCAGAAGTAAGTGAGATAGTTACAGAGGAAGGCAGTTTTCCTTCTGGACAAAACACCAGTCTGGCCAGATCTTCTAACTGTCAGATCTCTCTAAGCTGCCATAACAGATCTAGGGTAATGGCCTCAGTTGACGTACATATGCAATCTCAACTTCTGATTTGTACTGGACAAGGTCTAAGAGGCCACTGTGTAGCAGATTGTATGTGTCATGTATGCGTATCTCTATGTCCTTATGACACAAACATGCATATACGTACGCACTATTATTCAAGTCTTCCCAGGAGGAAAGAGGCTATGAAGGATGGTGATTGGTCCTGTGCTTGTGTGCTCCACCCACCATCAGTGCCATTCTGCTCCTTGAGCCCCAGGCCCAAGCTCACCTGGTGGTGGTCCACAGTGAGGCGGGGTGGAGCCAGGTGGAGTTTGGGTACCAGGAACTTCATGACCATCATGGTCCACACACCAGCAGAAGCCAGTGCTGCCATGACACTGTAGAGGCAGGAAGTTGCCTCGCTCGTCGCACTGCGGGATGTGGAGCCGGGCCCCAGCGTAGGCATACTGGGCCTGGGCATGGCGCTGCTGCTGCTCACAGGGTGTCAGGCCTGGGGCGGAGTCTCCCAGGATCAAGGCAGAGGAAGACACAAAAGAGAGAAAGAAGGCAATGCAACCCATCCACTTCACCAGCCAACAGCATGGCATGGAAACAGTAGGAAGATGCTGGGATTTTGGAGCCTGAGATTCTGATTTTATACCTTGCCACTGTTTACCTTGTTTCTCCCCAGTTCTTCCAGTTCATCCCATAGGTCCCTATCTGGCTCTAAGTGTAAAGCAGCCCAGCGCCTCTGTTAGCCCTATTGTCATCTGGGGAAAATAAGGGACAGCCATGGCATTCGCTCCAACATCCCAGAGTCGCTCTCATGACTCTGGAGAAAACAAGCCAAAGCCCGTTCATCCCCCAAGGCCCAGAGGTTAAGTCTGAGAAGCTGCAGGCTAATGGCAGCCACGAGACTGCGCCAAGCTGGCCAAGCTCCTCTAACACAGTCACCATGGGCTTACTCCTGGCTACCAGAGCATATGGCTCCTGTTTAATAAGCTTCAACTCAATAGTTCATCCAAAGTGCACTCATCAAGATCAAGCAGATCACTAGGGCAGTTAACCAACTAGAGCTGCTGTGAGGGGGAGTGATGGGTGGGTCATCTTCTGCATGCCTCCAGGAATGTTACAAATCAGTGAACTATCAGTAAACCAGGCAGCAGCAGGTAACCAAGGGAAAAAAAAAAATCCAAAGCCTGAAAAATCCCCCAACTAAGGCTTCAGACCAGACTAAATCAAGAGTGGGCAGTCATAGAGAAATACCCTTGAAGGAGCTAAGAGATTCATGTGTCTCATCTGGTCCTCCTAACTCTTACCAGGTAGGCACTGAAATCCATCCCCATGATATCCAGGTTGACAACGGCAGGAGAAGGAACCAGGAGTATTGTAGCAGGTAGCTGCAGGGTGACATCTGTTTTCTGAGCATTCATCTACATCTGCAGAGGTCAGAAACAGGAAGAGAGGAAGGAAAGAACAACCATGAATGACTTCACTCACACAGTCTGTGCTAATGCATAGGCTCTGTACGCGTGGATCAACATCCAGGGAGGTGTCAGCTTCAGAAGACCTTTGAGCCTGGGCAGAAAAATGCTGACACCTAAAGGTAAGCTTAATAGGAAAAAAAAAAAAATCAAGGAACATGTGAGTTAACACGTTAGACTAAACACGTTCAGTGTAGAAATCAAATGGGTAGTCACTCACAGGAAAAAAAACACACACACACATCCTAGAGCATGTTTCATGGACAGTGAATTCCAGGAAGTTGTTACCTTTGAACTAACCTTTAGACTGTAAGTCATAAACTTCCTTTCAGCGATGCTGCAATACAGACAAACATATGCAACAATGGTTTTTGTTCCTTCTTTCGTTGTTGGCACCAACTCCCTGTAACATTCATCTACAGATGCAAAGGAGCCAGGTGAGGCCCCAAATACTTTTCAGCTGACCAGCACATTCTGTCTTGCCTAATCAGGGTCTTACTATCTGGAACCATCCCCTACCCTCCATTAACCAGGTATTTTCTTTACTTTCCACTTTTAGAAGAAATATAAGAAAAAAAATACTATCTACGGTTTTGAAACAATACAGAAAAAATGAAAATCCTCATTTGCCAGGCCTGTCAGTACAAACAATTTAGGCCCCGACATTTTCCACAGAGCACGATGAGGATTAGTTTTCACCATCCTATTTCTCAAAACTACAAAATTCCTGACATTTCAAACAAAAGCCAATTTATATTCCTTTTATTTAATGAAATCCACATATACTGACAATAGCAAGTCACCCCCAGCCCCCACAGAAAATAAACTCCAAGAATTTAATAGTTAAAACTAACACCCAAGGGATGAGATAAGCTATCTTAAGAGACGGGAAATCTTTCAGAGTCAAAGGAGGATAAACAGAGGGTACAGGTCTGATGAAGGCTTGGCTGAAAATAAAACGAAGCAGTAGTTCCATCCATAATAATTACCAAAACTTTCTTTAAAATGTGTGAATAGAAAAATAAAAAAACAAAACGTGGGATGGTGTGATCAGCGGTTTACCTAGAAAATGAGACTGCTGCCTCAGTATGATACGGCCCACGGCAGAGACACATCAGCCTGGGAAGGCAGAGACTTGAAGTCCTAAATTTGATGTGAATGGGTTGGGAACAGGGCTAGCTTCTCACCCAGCCACCCATGACCCACATGGAAACTCCTCTAGAGTTACTTGCACCACCCTTTGTCCTGAGCACACTGTCACCAAGTCATCCTCTAATAACTAATGTGCTTTCTCCAGTACCACCAAATACACACACTGGACATTAAGCGTCAGGTGTTCTGTTCACTGGAGAGGAATCTCTTACATTATAATCAGAAAATAAGCATTCTGCTCATCCTCCGTCTCTGGGGAGTTTAGTCAGCATATATCAGTTCCGTGGAGTCCAAAAAAAAAATTCTGAATACTCAATGCAACCTAGAGAGGCTCCACCCGGGTGAGTGGCTGGCTTCCCTGGGTATCATCATTTCACCTACAAAGTCAAGAAAGGGGTATCAATTCGACCACAAGGGTAGAAACAAACTAGGTGTTCTGGTTGACTCCTCGGTTACCCAAAAATCAACCAATGCTGTCATAATAATCCTTGAGCTTGGCTCTGCCTCTTCAAATGGACACCTCAAATGCCCAGCTGGGTAAAACTGGTGATCATCCAATACCTTGGATCTGGAAGAGGATATAAAACTAGCTATAAAACCAAAGCTGTAAAAATTAACATCCAGCCACATGCAGGAAATTAAATCTATTCACAATACACATGCTAAAAGTACTTCTAAAGGTAACAGGAACCCCAAGCAATGACAGGAAGCAGGAATTCCTGAGACACAGGGCCTATTTCTGGAGCCCATAGAGCAGTTTCTCATTGTTAGTTTTGAACTAAAGAGAGAGGGGATTCCCCAGAACTACCAAATAAATCACTGATGTGCTCAGAACCTACGACCTAGGAATTCTGACTAAATCTGAAAGGCCAGCCTTCCTCCCTACAGACGCTTTTGGCATCATCAAAGACACTAAAGTTTTGGGTAGCCAGAAACTATTATAAATCACCAACAAAGAGAAGAAAGTCCCCAGAGAGACTGAAGATATCACAAGTGAGAAATTCCTGCCCCAAAGATTAAGGCTCCCTGAATCACAGTCCTGACTCTTCCTTGGAGGGCCTCATACCATGATAGAGACTAGAGTCCAGCCAGCCACTCCAGGGCCTGAGCATGCACAGGACATGAGATGTCAAGCGAGAAAACAGGGAAAGACGTTCAGCCCCCTGGCAAGGGAGGAACTTTCTTTATTGCACCATTGGAGAAGGAGGCCACTGCTTATGCTTAGTAATTACTAGCAGGGGTGTGTAGGGATCGCTATAAAGACAGAAACATTCAAGAAGTAGTAGGGCCCCTTTATCACTCAGGTAACAAAAGGTAGCTTAATCTCAGTGCCATCCTCCACTCTATCATCCATTAAGCTGGTAAAGAGCCTGTTTGGAAAATGTGTTATAAACCCTTCCTTTTGAGTTCATGCTTTTGTGCTTCAACAACCTTCTTACTGCCCCAATACTGAGCAAAACCAGCAGGAACTGCTTGAAGACAAACCTAACCACTGGCCTCGAGTTCCCCAGTCTCCCACCACTGCCCACTTGCCTTTGAGCCCAGTGAAATCTCCTGGTATCAATTAACCTCAAACCCAACCCATATCACAATAAAAGGCTTTAGCCCACAGGCCCCACTCTCTCTCTACTCCATCATCTGTTCTGTTCAGCACCCTGCTGATTGCACCCCTGCGTGGCATGTGGTGACCCCACTCCAGACCTGTGAGTGTAATAAACTATTTCCTTTCAAGCTTCATCCTTGTCTCCTCCTGTAACCACACTGACTTTACCATACCATACCCTACATCTACCTACGTTCTTGGAACAGGACACCTGGCCAGGCACATAATGGAGAGTATACTTTCATTATTTAAAAAAAAAAAAAAAAAAAAAAAAAAAGAGGGAGAGAGAAGCTAGGCCAGGCATGGTGGCTCATGCCTATAATCCCAGCACTTTGGGAGGCTGAGGTGGGTGGATCAGTTGAGTTCCGGAGTTTGAGACCAGCCTGGCAAACATGATGAAACCCCATCTCTACAAAAAATACCAAAATTAGCTGGGCATGGTAGTATGCACCTGTAGTCCCAGCTACTTGGGGGGCTGAGGTGGTAGGATCACTTGAGTCTGGAAGGTCAAGGCTACAGTGAACTGTAATCACACTCTTGCCCTCCAGCCTGGGTGTTAAGTAAGATCCTGCCTCAAAAAGCAAAAACAAAAGCACAGAAAACCCCAGAAAGAATAATGTCAGTGTGTTTACCCTCAAGCCCCTCCTGGGTAATGACTCTGGGTAATGGGCCATCTGTAACCCAGCTTCCTCCACTCACACTTGCTCCTCCTGGGAAGGTCCTAACTCAAGACAATCTGCTTTTGCACCTGGACGAGTCACAACAATCCAAAAGGACAAACATGCCTGAGAAATATCCAGCTCACACCAACACACGTTTGAAATCACTCCAGACTGAGGGAAGTTGGAGAGGATTTAATTCTACTTGGATAAAAGCCTCCTGGCTGGTGACTCAGACCAGACTGAGAACCCAAATCCAAGTATGGCCCTCTCCAGGGAGCCAGGTTTTTAACAAACTGTGGCTGAAGAAAAACCCACACACCCCCTTATTGTTAGTTTGATGGAGGAAAAAAATGTGTGCTTTAACAATGCGTATTTCCCACTAAATAGAGTCTCTAAATATTTTTTGGTCACTGAGACATATGTACACTTTGGAATGCCTTTAAGTATGCACACATACACATATTTCTGTATATATTCAAGTTACTTTCATGATTAACCTAGCCTAATTTATGCATGGGTCTTTAAGAAAATGACCATTCATTCTCTACTACCCCATAATATCAAAGTTTAGAAGGCAACCACATGGTGAGTGGCTGTGGGAGGCAGCCTCTAGCCTCTAAGATGACCCCCAACAATTCCTACCTAGTGATATTCAGGGTCTTGTGTAATCCCACCCCTTTAGTGACATGCTTTTAATCAATACAATAAAGCAACATTGAAGGGATGTCATTTTCGTGATTATGACTTCCATCTTTCTAGCAGACTTTCTCTGGCATTAATAAAGTAAGCCATTATGTTGGAGAGGCCCAAGTGACAAGAAACTAAAGGCAGCCACAACCAGCAAGGAACTGAGGCTTTCAGTCCAATGGTCCTCAAAGAACTGAAGCTTGCCCATAACCATGAGTGGATCTTTCCCCAGTTAAGCCTTCACATGAGACCACAGACCCACCAGACACTGACTGCAGCCTTGTGAGAGATCCTAAAGGATCCAGCTGAGCCATTCCCAGGTCCCTGGCCACTGATATTAAATGCCTATTATTTGAAACTGTTACATTTTAGGGTAATTTATTATATAGCAATACACAACCAACACACTAGGGAAGCACCTGATGGGTTTGGCATATTTTTAGTTTGTAGGCTTTAGAGAGAATCCTAAAAGTAAAGAATCAGAGATAAAATAGGGACAATTGAAAATGACAAAAGTAGAGAAGGCAATAAAAACAAAAGAATGACAATACTTAAAAATTCCCAATATGGAAAAATAGCCAATTTCAGAGCCCTAACGTGACCTTAGAAGGTAATCAAAGTCTTGCAGGACAAGCAGAAGAAAAAAAGAGGGAGAGAATAACCATTCTAGAAGCGATCAAACTGGGCAGCATCTAATGTAATATTCTTAATAACACTCATCACATCTAGGCTGAAATTAATTTCAACTTCCTTGCTTTAAACCAGAGGATTAAGGAACTAAATATTTTAAAAGCACCATCTCTGCTGACCTGAGAAGCCAGATTTTAAAATAAATTCTACAGACAAGATTTTTCTCAAGAAAGTCTCATTTCTTAGAGCTGGTACAAGGGTTAAACCAAACCAAATGATATGTATCACAAGAACAGAAAAGCAGCATTCCCACTTTGGCACCTCCCCCTGAATTCCACACCTGTAGAGAGTATCTTTAAAGAGTGCATCTATTACAGATATATTCAATGTTTTCTCACCGGTATATCTATTACAGATGGAGCTCCTGGCAGGTTAAGTGGGACAAACATCTGTGAAATTACAAATCTATCTCATTCTAATTGGGAAATACTCTTTCTCTAGAGCTAGGGGTGTTTATTCAAGAGGTCCATAGTCTTCTTACGTTACTGGGCCTAATACCAAGACACACAGGAATCCCAACTGAGGATTACCATCTGTATTAGTCAATTTCCTGTTGTTTATAACAGTGTAACTGAAACTGAGTAATTTCTAAAGGAAAGGAATTTATTTCTTACAGTTCTAGAGGCTGAGAAGTCTAAGGTCAAGGGGCCAAATCTGGTGAGGGCCTTCCTGCTGGTGGAGACTCTCAGTAGAAGCCTGAGGTGGTGCAGGACATCACATGATGAGGAGGCTGAGTGTGCTTAGATGCTATTTTAGGTAGGTTTCTCTTCTTATAAAGCCTCTAGTTCCCGTCCCATGATAACCCACTAATCCATCAATAGGGGCAGAGCTCTCATGATCCAATCACCCCCCCTTTTTTGGATCCATTTTTAGGTCTGTAGTATTTTTTGGAGAAATAGAACGTGGTGTATTTGTTACAGAAGGAGCTCTTTAGCCAGTCAAGTAGGACATGTGTCGGTGAATTATGAATCCATCTCTTCTAATTAGAGAAATACTTTAGGCTCTATCTAAAGAACTAGAGGTGTTTGCTAGAGAGGTTTATCATCTTGTTAGATGATTGGGCCAGAAATCCTGAGGTGAGCATCCTTCCATTTAAAGGCCCAATCTCTCAATACTGCCATATTGGAATGTAAGTTTCAACATGAGTTTTGGAGAAGACTCAAGCCATACCCTCAACTTTCAATAACACCACCAAAGATATCTGTTTAGGAAAAAAAAAAAAAAAAAAGGCAGGGGGGTGGCTTTGGATCAGTTCAGCATAGATTGCATTCTCAAGAAAACCATGCAGCAGAGCTTCTGTACCGCACACGTGGAAAGAGTAAGAATGAGGCTCAGACACCACCATGTAGCCTGCCCCAACCAGAGAGAAGTGGAAGGGCTAAGCTGCCATCACAGTGGCCTCTCTTCTGTCAGTGACACACGGCCTCAGCCTGCTGTCCACTGAGCCCATCCTGAGGAAACCAAAGGGAAAAAGGAACGGAAGAGGGATGAAAACCAAACATCTGGCGAGGAGGAGGAAGGCTCGCGCTATTTGGATCTGGTATAAAGCTCCCAGGAATTGCAAAGCTACTCCTTAGCAAATCAGCTCAGTGGGCCTGGGTGGATGGTGGCAGATGCAGACAGCAATACCAGGAGCAGGGGAAAGCCTGCCTTTCAGGTTCATGTTCCCCAGCAGGCCCTTTCCCATTACAAATACTTTTCCCACCATTCTCTCATCCCCAGTGTGTCATTTTACCATGACTGTATATGTGACTCACATGAAACTGAGTTTCAGTCTGATCACACAGCACAGGGTATGTTTGGAAAACCTTTTGTGGTTTAAGTAGATTTACTGAATGACTTCCATTTTAAAGAACTCCTAATCCTAGTTTCATGGACATTTATACTCAAGAGTTACTGTCTATCCTTTAAATAACAATCTCACACATTTGTAAGTTAAATTCGCAATAGCCAGACTTGCAATTGGTTTGGTGCTTTTAAAAAATACTGCATTAAGTCTTAAAGATAGAATTCTGGGAGAAAAGTTTTGATATGTGTCTTTTTATGTGTGTGCAGTTCTCTATTTTGAAAGAGAAGAAAAATTAGTAAGAATTATAAATGTGTTTAGAAATGGCTTAAAATATCACTTAAAGCAGAAGAGCACAAACCTTAAGTGTTGACTTCAGCCATTAACCAAAGAGACTGAAAGACAGAGACTGCCTAACAGGAAGGTATGCAACTTTCCCTAAATTCTTCCAGCCTACCCTGGCTCTAAGGAGCCAAGGTTAGAAGCTCCCAACTGCTCCAGGAATGCCTCCACCAAGGACTCCATATATGGTCGCCAATGTAGTCCAGAGGAAATCACCCTTGGCTCCCCTTTCTAACTCAAAGGACGCTTTTTTCTCACTCTTTTGGCAAGTGCAAGGCTGTTAGAGTAAAAGGAAGTCCTTTGTCCTTCCTAGGAGAGTTCCATCAATGAGGGGATGTGCCTCCAAGGCGATTTTCCAGTCGTCGAGGCTGACCCGCAGTTACTCACCAGTGCACTGGTGCCCATCGCCAGCATAACCAGGCAGGCAGGCACAGCTGAACACGCCGCCTCCGTGGTGAACACACCGCGCCTGCCCAGCAGGAGCACAGGTATGACTGCCGTCCTCACAGGGGTTGGAAGGTGGAGTGATCACTGAAAAGAGAAGGCGGCAAGGGTGTCCAAGGGTTTAGGCATGCAGGCTCCTCATGGCATGATCCACAGAAAAACAGCAACAGACCAAGGAATGCAGGTTTTCAGACCCCACCCCAGGGTCAATGATTCAGTATCTGGATTTTAACAAGATTCCTAGATGGTTCATATGTTATTAAAGTTCACAAGTACTGGTATGAATTTGTGGTTAAAATATTAAGCATAAAAATCAGTCATCCAAGCAGTCCTCAAAGTTTATAACACTCCAGAGCAATTGCTACACACACACACACACACACACACACACACACACACACACACAGTTTCTCCTATCACTTCTACCCTCCTCATCCCACTGGATTAAAGAGTGTATTTTCTTTACTCTCATCCAGCTTTATCAATGGGATGCATTGGGATAGTTCTTTTGATCCATTTTTAGGTCCGCAGTATTTTTTGGAGAGATAGAAGGGGTGTATTTGTTAGAGGAGCAGCTCTTTAGCCGGTCAAGTAGGTAGGACATGTGTCGGTGAATTATGAATCTATCTCTTCTAATTAGAGAAATACTTTAGGCTCTATCTAAAGAACTAGAGGTGTTTGCTAGAGAGGTTTATCATCTTGTTACATGATTGGGCCAGAAATCCAGAGATGAGCATCCTTCAGTAACTCAACACCAAAAGTATCTGTTTAGGGAAAAACAATGAAAATAAACAGGGCTGACTTAAGCCATAGCTTTGAGTTCTTTCTTTCTTTTTGACACAGAGTCTCACTCTCCTACCTAAGCTGGAGTGCACTGGCAAACTCTCAGCTCTCTGCAATGTCTGCCTCCCATGCTCAAACAATCCTCCTGTCTCAGCCTCTTGAGTAGCTGGGATAACAGGTGCATGCCACCAGGCCTGGCTAAGGTTTGTATTTTTTGTAGAGACAAGGTTTTGCACATTGCCCAAGCTGGTGTTGAACTTCCGAACTCAAGGGATTTACCTGCCTCAACCTTCCAAAGTGCTGGGATTACAGGCATGAGCCACCACATCCACCCAGCTTTGGGTTATTTTGACATAAACTTTGTTCTCAAGAAAACCGTATAGCAGAGCTTCTGAATGACAGAAGTCAAAACGCTGGTAGACTAAAGAGTAAGATTAAAAAGCACCATTTTGGTGCACACAAGAAAATGATTTTGGAACTCACAGATGCAAGTATACCGGTCATCTGCAAACTCATAACCACTCCGGCACTCACACCTGTAGCTTCCAGGCAAGTTGATACATACAGAGTTGGGGCCGCAGCGATGAAAGCCAGTTGCACATTCATTTTCATCTAAGACAAAATGAGAACAGAAAGATTCTGCTTAACTCAAGGGTCCCAGAAGTGGAGGGTCTAAAAATTCAATGTTTTCTTATTAGTATGATGCTTCAATGCGACAAATGGGCAGCAGACATAGAATTTTTAAAAATCAGATATAAATGCATGTTGTAGACCATCAGATATAGTAAAAATTCATGCCATTCAAGTGAAAGCCACAGGAAGACAATTTTAAAATGAATATTCTAAGAATTCTTTAAGTGTTTTAAAAATAATGGATACTTGGAAGAAAACCAACAATTTTTTTTAATATAAAAAACTTCTACCATGCCTTTTTGGGATATAACAAGTAAAAGAAACACAATGTCTGTCTAAAACTTAAAACCAGAAAATGTGCTTTTTAGTAAGTCTAAGAATTTTTTTCCCCCCCAAGATGGAGTTTCACTCTTGTTGCCCACACTAGAGTGCAGTGCTGCAATCTTGGCTCACCACAACCTCTGCCTCCTGGGTTCAAGCAATTCTCCTGCCTCAGCCTCTCGAGTAGCTGGGATTACAGGCATGCACCACCACGCCTGGGTAATTTTTTATTTTTAGTAGAGATGGGGTTTCTCCAGGTTGGTCAGGCTGGTCTCGAACTCCTGACTTCAGGTGATCCACCTGCCTCGGCCTCCCAAAGTGCTGGGATTACAGGCGTGAGCCACCACGCCTGGCCAGAACTACTTATTACAGGCTCAAACTTATAAAACTTAAAATATCCAGGAATTGCAACACATGTTTTCTTTTCACAGCCCGAGTGCAAAATACTCCACTCCAAACCATCTTCTCAAACCTAAACAACTATACTTTAATTTTTAAGTAATTATATTCAGATTAACAGCTGCTAAAATCATTGGTTGGTCAGGCTGGTCTCGAACTCCTGACTTTGCGACTGTAAAGGTGACAGGTACCTGTCTGCTACAAACATAATGCTGGAGAAGGCAAAGGAAGAGCAGGGGCTACGTGAAGGAGACACAAGAACATGACTCTTACCCACACAGCTACGTCCATCTCCCTGGTACCCAGACGCGCACTCGCAGGTGTAATCTACACCTGTTCCCGGATGGCATCGTGCTGTTGTGTCACACGTGTGGCTCCCGTCATAGCAAGGATTCACTGGAGAGGGGTCTGCATCTTCTGTGTGAGTAGAGGGGAAATAAAAGCACAATATGGCTATTGGTAAGAGAACGACACAGAAGAAGAGTCCTCAGAACTGACTGCATGTCCGTTTTCTGGCACACCTGGAGACCTTACTAAATCATCCCTGACCGAAGCTATGGTGGACTGTCTGCACCTCAGTTTTAAACTCCAGACCGACTTCCTATTGCCTACCCTACAGACAGCTAGTATCTTTTGTTGCCTTCAGTAGGTTTGCGTCCAGGGAATGAAAACATCCAACACGTCTATTTAAAAATGCTTTTGCTCTTCCTGTGATTCTTGGGATAATTCTGTGTGGTGAGCTATTGTCCCCATTATGAGTAATTTTCACAGGCAAGGAAATTGAAAGAGACATGGGAAAAATTGCCCAAGCTCACTAAGTCAGGAAGTGGTACAGCAAGGACTCAAACTCCAAATTTCTGGTTCTAAATCTATCTGTCTCTTACTAAAATTCACAATTTTTTACGGGTAAATCTAATTAATTTTTTAAAAATCTTGCTTCTGAATGATTCCTAAGACTAAACGGGAATGACTTTCCCAGTATTTACTCTTCAGGAGTAGCCTTGCCAAGGATCCATCACTAGGTAGGGATCACTGAACAAATGAAACCTTCCCTAGAGAAGTCTATTTTGGCTGAGCACGGTGGCTCATGCCTGTTATCCCAGCACTTCGGCAGACCAAGGCAAGAGGATTGCTTGAGCCCAGGGCTTCAAGACCAGCCTGCACAATATGGCAAGACCTTATCTCTACTTTAAAAAAAAATGCCAAGCATGGTGGGCCATGCTTGTAGTCCCAGCTACTCCAGAGAGTGAGGCGGGAGGATGACTTGAGCCCAGGAGCTTAAGCTTGCAGTGAGCCATGATCATGCCACTGCACTCCAGCCTAGGTGACAGCAAGACTGTGTCTTAAAAATCTTTATTTCTACATACAACATAATAGTTCATGCTCACTGAGCATTTATGTGTGAGGCACTATTCTAAACAGAGAGGAGGATGCCCGATTACATTCTCCTAACTACATGGTGAGTAAATTATCATCATCTCCACTTTTGCTGCATCACAGAGAGGCCAAATAACCTGCCCAGGGATACACAGTCAGAACAGGTGGATGGAGCTGGAATAAAAATCTAGCAGTCTGGCTCCAAAACCTGTGCTTTCTACCACTTTGCTGTAACCCTCACCGAGGGAACTTCATGAAATTACCTAGTGGCACAGCGGTATTGGAAGGAGAGCCAGATGCTCGAATAGAATGACTCTATCAACTCTGCCATGTAAAATGGAAATAATAGGTACATCTGCCACTACTGCTAAATTAAGAAAACCCAACACAATGTATTTGAAAGGCAATTCCCCAGTGGCAGGTCTACCCAGTCTCCACTGACTGCATTCCTCCTGCCTTCTCACAGGGGCCGCCGTTCATCCTCATTTGAGGTTCAATCTCAGTTCCCAGAATTAACTCTAACCTTAGGCTCAAAAGATTTCAGGAGCCCCAGCTAAGCCTGTCAGGTTCTACACTGAGCCATCTCTGTTACGAAGGGGGCTCCATCTAAGTTGTAATAACTCGGGCTTCTGCCTTATACATCTGTGCCCAAGGCCTTGCCGTGATAGCCAGCTTAGCATCCTCTGAGTCCCATCCTGCTCGCCAGCTCTCACTACCCACAGTCACCAGCATCATGGTATCTGTAGGCAGACTCTGGCAGTACCACCCATTTTATCTCCTCCTGGATTCTCTATCATTTCACTCTGTCTGACCCATGACTCTCTCCCATGCCTGCTTTGTACAGAATCTCTATTAAAATGGAGAAATAATGAGGGAGATCAGGTGTTTGTCTTACATTGAGCCTTCAGTGAGGACATGACCCTGTCATTCTCCATGGCAACAGATGCTGACTCAGGAACCTGGTCTATACTCTCAAGGTAACTCAGCAACCACAACCCCATTGCCATGGGGTGACAGTTGCCCAAAGTGACTCCTAGTCCAGACCCCAAGGGCTGACTGCAGCAGCCCACCTCATAGACTGGACTCACTCGCAGTCCTTCAGGATGTCTGGCTTCTCCCCATTGCCTGTCCTACTGCCCATGTTATGGCTCTTCCAGTGCTTTCTCATAGCCTGCTGTGAACCAAGATGCCCTTGTTTTCTGGTAAACACTTTCCATCCCACTTTGTAAGAAACACCACAGTGCATTCTTGTAGTGGACTATTCCCATGTTATTGCTTCCCGTATTATTGGCTGAAGATAAGAAGGGCTATGGGTTTATCCTCAGTACACCGCAATCATGTTGGCTGGGGTATACAGAATCTTTGCCAAAACAAAGGGCCAACAAATAATCCCAGCACTTTTTAAACCTGATGAACTATGTAAGCAAAAGCCTAACTTCCTGGAGCATGCAGACATCCTTGAAAGTCCCTTCCTCTGAATCTCCTGGCTGATAGGAAGGAGGCAGGGCACTGGGGTTGTAGTTGCCGAGCTAACTTGAGCATAGACCAGGTTCCCGAGTCAGTCCTCAGCAGGTTACACCGAGGACAAGGTTATGTCCTCATCCATGAGGACCCAATGTAAGACAAGAAAGTGATTCTCCCACATCATTTTTTTCTCCTCCATTTAAGGAGAAGATTCTGTACAAAATGCCTGCCATACCCCACCAAAGCAGGAAGTAATCAACACGTTTTAATTTAATAATACTAATGCTTAGCCTTCTTATTCAGTACTTTCCAGCATCATAATTTCACCATGGCACATTCCAGCAAAGATTAGTGAATTCACATGGAACTCAAGAGCTTACCACCCTGCTAGGCATTAAAAGAAAAAAAAAAAACACACACAACTCAAAAGTTGACGTGCAAACTTGGACAGGATATATTATCCTACCTAAAATTGAGAAGAAAGTGTCCATAATTACTTAACACTGATTTAAAATGTATGTGACTGACAGAATTAGTTCCATAATTTGCAATGCCCAGTGTGAAGTGAAAATGTGGAGCCCACGGTTCAAAGCAAAGCATTTAACCAAGCATGGAGCTCTTCTCAGCGCGGCCTCGTTCACTGAACTTGGCTTCCCAAAACATTTTAAAAATACATTTCCAAAACCATTTCACTACTCATTCTCTATGACTTGTAAGCTTTTCTCCTATTATAGTAAGTAAAGAATAGCAGTGTCCTTCTTAAGACATTTTCTATTTCACCCTCACCCTCTTAAACTCCTTGACTCTCTGACAGAGGATCTGGAACTAATTTACTCATTTAATCAAGGGGAAGAGCGGTTTTCCTTAAAGGAACAGTCCATTCAGTTTTACTGCACAGCCCTCTGCCTAGAGCCTCCTCAACTCACCAAAACGACCCTTGAAGTGGAAGGACAGGAAGCATTTTTGGATCCTGTTCTATGACCCCACCAAAACAACAACAACAACAACAACAACAAAACAGCTAACCCACACTTAAAGCTCGAGCAATTGGTGGGAGGTGGCACTGATGGTTGGGAAGTCAACAGGGACAGAGGCTCCAATTACTCACTGGGAAAGACACCCCAGTTCAGTTCTGCATCCTCGCCCTGGGAAATCACGCCGCACCCACATCAGGTGTGGGCAGCTGTGTTGTTTCGCATGCGTTCCAACCGGATGATCGTTCCCACTGGAAGAAGCAAGCAGCTCTTAGGAAGATACTGCTATGTGCTGAGGGCGGAAAGAAAAAAGAACTTTTCCTTTGAGTGTTTCTTTGTTGTTGTTGTTGTTGTTTTTTCTCCTATTCAGGTAGAATGAATAGTACTACTGTGGGTAGATGAAGTAGGGTTTAAACACAAAGCATCTATAAAAGACACATAGCGCCTCTTTTAAAGTTTGGACTAAATTATGGGCAGTCATAAGGCCAGCGTGGAACAGCAGAGCCATGGGGGTAAGGGTGTGAGTGCTAGAGCCAGGGCCTGAGTTTGAATCCTGCTCACCACTTACTAGCTATGAGCAGGCAAATCACTTCATTTCTACACCTTAGTCTCATCATATGGGATAACAAATAACCCCACCCCACCCCACCCCACCACTGGGTCGAGGTCATTGCAGGGACTAAATGAGTTAATTCACATAAGGTGCTTAGAACAGTGCTTGGCACCAAGTAAACCATCCTTTGCTATTTCTTATTAATATTTGACTGGGGTGGGAGGGAAAATCTTATCAAATTCTAAAGAAAACGAGTAACTTGGTGCCTGCCAGTTTGCTTTTTCTGATCCTTTCTTTCTCTCTGGTATGTCTCCAGGACAAGTATACCCAGAGATGTATCATTTTCCTAAATGATTCCAGAATCTGAATGGGACTCCACAGCCCAGGAGATTCTTTCACGAATGGTTGCTTTTACGTATCAGATGCCTATACCCGATGAAGGGTAAAAAAACCATTATTCCCAGTAGTTTTGTTTAAATCTGTCATTGAGAAATCTACTACTGCAATCTTTCCCTCTCTGATTTACATGTTCCTCTAAAGTCAACTCACATTCTCATGTATTAATTCACCGCCTCACAAACCCACCTTTGGGCACCCAATGCCTACATTCCCAACCAAGTTTCCCAAAACCACACCAATCAACCAAACCAACTTCGATTCTCATTACAAGTTACTTCTGCATCCTAGAAACGAGTCCAATCCTTGTACCTTAATATTATCATATTGCTGAAGCAACACTTCTCTGGAGCCTGCTGAGGCTTAAGGGGCCCTCAGCTCCAGTAACAAACCACAGAGCCACGTATTACAGATTTACCTCTCTGAGGAGCTAATTCTGGGCTCAACAGTATCCATACAGTGGCTGAACGAGGAAGATGGTCTGTTTCTCATGGTGTGGCTCTTACATTCCAGGGGAAAACATGACCTTCTGGTTTTCAGAATTAAAGTGTCCCCTCAATCTGACAAAGTCACTTCCCATCTGTAGAGTTCCCTGACCTCACAAGCTCATTCTCTGGCTTGCTTAAAACACTCTTTTTTTTTAATTAAGACCTTGCTTTTTAGCGTGGTTTTACGTTTAGAGAAAAACTGAACAGAAACTACAGAGCTTGCATATCCCCCCAGCCCCTCAGGTGCACAGTTACCCCTATTAACATTGTACGTTAGTGTGATACATTTATTATCCTCAATGAATCATTAACTGATGCCCATAGTCTGCATTAGGGCTCACCCTTGGTGTTGGACAGTTCTATAGACTGACAAATGTACAATGGCCTATATCCAGCCTTACAGTATCATACAGAATAGTTTCACTGCCCTAAAAATCCCGTGTTCCAGCTATGCATCCTGCTCCTCCTTCCTCCTGAGCCACTGGCAACCAATGACCTGTTTACTGTCTCTAAAGTGTAACTTTTTCCAGAAAGTCACATAGTTAGAGTCATTCTATATGTAGCCTTTTCAGACTGTTTTCACATAGCAACATGATTTTTCAGTTTCATGTCTTTTTGTGACATGATATGCCTAGAATACTTTTATCTGTATTTTTAAATCAGTCTTCATAGGTGAGGATGATGCTCATTGAAATTTGAGAACCACTGTTTATCTTGAGATGGGGTCTTGTATGTGGCCAAGGCTGGTCTCAAACTCCTGGGCTCAGGTGATCCTCCCACCTCAGCCTCTAGAGTAGCTGGGATTACTGGGATTACAGGCACAAGCCACTGTGCCTGATGAGAGTGGTTCTACAGTTTTGTTTCCACCACTGTTTTCTTCAATTTCTTTGTTTTTATTTTTGCGAGTCTTGCTATGTCATTGCCCAGGCTGGACTGCAGTGGCGCAATATCAGCTCACTGCAACCTCCGCCTCCTCAGGTCAAGCAGTTCTCCTGCTTCAGCCTCCTGAGTAGCTGAGATTACATGCACATGCCACCACATTGGGCTAATTTTTGTGTGCATATATATACATATACATGGTTTTTCTTTTTTTTTTTTTTTTTTGTAGTGATAGGGATTTGCCATGTTGGCTAAGCTAGTGTCAAAATCCTGACCTCAGGTGATCCACCCACCTCAGCCTCCCAAATGCTAGAATTACAGGCATAAACTACCGTGCTCAGCCTTCAACTGAGATGTAATTCACATACCATACAAGTCATCCATTTAAGGTACATAATTAAATGATTTAGTATATTCAGTGTTGTACAACCATCACCACAACCAATTTCAGATCACCTCCAACAGAAACCCCGTACCCTTTAGCTGTTAACCCCCTATTCCCTCGTTATCTCCTAGCTCTGGGCAATAGGAATACGCTATATACGTGGATTTGCCTATTCTGAGTATTTCACATAAATGCAATCATTCAGTATGCTGTCCTTTGTGACCAGCTACCCTCATTTAACACAAGGTTTTCAGAGTTCATTCATGTTGTAGCATGTATTCATACTTCATTCCTTTTTATGGTTGAATAATATTCTAGTATATGAATGTTTTTTGCTGTCCATCCATTGATGGACATGTGGGGTGCTTCAACCTTTTGGCTATTATGAATAATGCTGCTATGTATACACATGAATAAGTTTTTGTGGGGACCTATGTTTTTAATTTCTTTTGGGTATATAGTGAGTAGAATTGCTCTGTTAAATGGCAACTTTGTGTTTAACTTTCTGAGAAACTACTATTTGTAAAATGATGTGGCTACTGTGAAAAAAAGCAATCACACCAGCAACATATGAGGGTTCTGAATTTTCCACATTCTTGCCAACACTTATTACCTGTTTTTTGATTATACTCAACCACACGACGTCTAGTAGTATCTCATTGTGGTTTTGATTTGCATTTCCCTGATTACTAATGATGTCCAGCATCTTTACACATGCTCATTAGGTATCTATGTATCTTTTTGGAAAAAGGACATTGTAGATCCTTTGCCCATCTTTTAGTTGGCTTTTTGTCCTTTTGTTGAGTTGTAACAGTACTTCATATACTCTAGAATAAGTCTCTTATTAAATACATGATTTAAAATACTGTCTCCCATTCTGTGGGTTGCGTTTTCACTTTGTTAATAATGTCCTCTGAAGTACAAATATTTAAAATATTGATGGCATCCAGTTTCTTTTGTTGCTTGTGTCGTACCTAAGAAGCCACTACCAAATTCAAAGTCACAAAAATGTACTCCTATGTTTTCTTCTGAAAGTTTTAACTCTCACACTTAGGTCTGTGGGCCCATTTTGAGTTTATTTTTGGATATGCTGCGAGATAAGGATTCAACTTCATTCTTTTGTGTGTGGTCACTCAGTGGCCCCAGCACTATAGTTAACAATAGTTAAAACACTGTTCTTTCTCCACTCAATCGTTTTGGCACTGTTGTTGAAAAAGCAATTGACTTCTAATGTGAGTGTTAATTTCTGGGTTCTTTACTTCTATTCATTGATCTGTATGTATATCCTTATGCCAGGACCATACCGTCTTGATTACATTTTGAGTTTGAGAAATATGAGTCTGACTTGATGCTTCTTTTCTAAGACTGTTTTGGCTATTCTGGGTTCTTTGAGTTTCCATATAAATTCTACAATCAGCTTGCCAATTTCTGCAAAGAGCTAGCCAAGACTCTGATAGGGATTATGTTGAATTAATGATCAATTTGGGAAGCAATCATATCTTAACAGTATTAACTCTTCCAGTCCATGAATAGAACATCTTCCCATTTAACCAGGTCTTAACTTTTTCCCAAAAATGTTTTGTGGGATGCGATGCACAAGTACTGCACTTTTTTATTTTAAAAATTACTTTTTGAAATAGAATTTCTTAATTTTCAGTTTGCTCATTGCTACTATAGAAAAATATAATTTTGGGTATACTAATCTTGCATATCTTATAACATTGCTGAATTTTTTCTTTAGTTCTAATAGTTTTTTAATGAATTACTTAGACTTTCTACATAAAAGATCATGTCATCTGAGAATAATTTTATTTCTTCCTTTCCAATTTAGATGGCTTTTATTTCATGTTCTTGCCTAATCCCCCTGGCTAGAACTTCTAGTACCGAGTTGAATTAAAGTGGCAAGAGCAGACATCCTGGTCTTGTTCCTACGCTTCAGGGAAAAGCATCCAGTCTTTCACCATTAAGTATAATGTTCTGGGGATTGGCGAGGGGGAAGTTACACATGAAGTTCTATATTGTTTTCTTTTTCCAAGTACTAGCTCTTTGCCTCACCTTGGTTTTGGATGAAATTCTTCTCATCTGTTTTAGCTAAAACGTCACTTTCTTGGGGACATCTTCCCTGATCCTCAAACTAGACCCATAGCTCCCTGCACTTACCGCACTTGTAACAAATACTTATCGGCATCACTCTCCCTCCTAATTCCAGTCCGCCTTGTTCACAGGTATGTCCCTGACTGGCACACACTGCTGGGTATTGCTGTAAACCAGCCTCACATACTGTGCCCCCTCTTTCCTGACTTTGGCAGGGACACTGTTCCTTGCCCTAAAACTCCTTTTCTGCCTCTGTTTCCAATTCAAGGGCAAGGATCTGCTTTATTCATCCTTATACCTAGCATCTAACACAGCCTGGCACGAGGTAACCCTTAGTAACCTCTGTGAATTATTCTAACTCTACTTAAAAGGATGTCATTTTTGCCCAACAACAACAACAAAGAAAACCTTACCTTCAACTGGGCCAATCTGATTGGTCACAGCAAATCTAAGCACTCTTTCTTCATCATTATACAAAGCAAACACCCGGTCTACGTTCAGCTGCTGGGTGGCGGGGAAGGTCGGGCGTCTGGGCGCGTGCTTGCACACCTGGTAAGTGATGTTCTGGTGGACGCGGTAGGACCATGTTTGGTTGATTGCACCAAAAGTGAGAGAGTACTCTCTGGAACTTGTAGAGGTTACAGCTGCAATAAACACATTGGTACTTTAAAATATATGCATATTAAATACAGAGATTTTCACATGGGGTGTATTTTTATGCAGAGTTTTTCATCTAATTCTTGGAGCATGTTCCCTTGGGAACTTCCTGAGTTTATATGAAAAAAACTTGCAAGGAAATCCCAAAAACCTGAGTGGATACAAAGCCACAGTGCTGAGAGGGAGAAGGCACTACAATTGTCCATGTCATTATATGCAAAGCATAAGTGCGCCTGAGTGCCAGCCATGCCAACAGTGCTCTATACCTACTGCCTCATTTATTCCTCACAACAGCGCAAGGAGGTGGGCACCAAATCATGCAATCAGAGGCTTACAGAGGTGAAGTAGGCTAAGATGCAATGCGGCTACACGGTAGAGCTAGAACTGAAACTCACACTGGTTTGACTTTACACCCTAAATTTTAAACCAGTCCATCATCTACATTGCACAGAAGTGACGACTTCCAGCACCTTGCACTTCAGTAAATCTGAAGAATTCCAGAGAAAGGAAAGGGTTGTCTCTTGTAATCTGAGTCTGGGAACAAGCCCAGGTCAGTTATCTGGACATTGACCATTTTGTTCACAACCCAGGTCTCTGCTGCCCATTTCTTCCCTACGTTCCTGCTAGGCTGCCAGCTCTCAGCACAGGAGAAGCAGGGATCAGAGGAAAGGCACAACTCAATCTAGATTGCCGTGCTGCACAACAGCAACTGTGATGGAGGCAGCCTCTTGCACGCAGATAGTATTTTCACAGAACACATCATGCTTCACACATATTACTGACCATGTAACATAGAAAAAGCATTTTTATTTCTAAAGGTGAGAAAATACATTCTCAGATATTAAGAGGCCTTTCCTTACAGATAAGCAAATCCAGGATATAAGTTCTTATCTTTTGACTCCAAATCTAGCATTATTTTTAGAGTAAACTACAGCATTCTGTGTTTTTTTGTTTTTTTGAGACGGAGTGTTGCTCTGTCACCCAGGCTGGAGTATAGTGGTGCAATCTCGGTTCACTGCAACCTCCACTTCCTGGGTTCAGGTGATTCTCCTGCCCCAGCCCCACAAGTAGCTGGGATCACAGGCACCTGCCACCATGCTCGGCTCCTGTTTGTATTTTTAGTAGAGACAGGGTTTTGCCATGTTGGCCAGACTGGTCTCCAACTTCTGACCTCAGGCGATCCACCTACATCAGCCTCCCCAAGTGTTGGGATTACAGGCATGAGCCACTGCACCTGGCCTCTGTGATTTTTAAAGCAGCCTGAATTCATCAGCTGAAACAAGGTTGAGACAAATAAAAATTCCAATAATCAGTATTTTCCATGTTGCAGAAAGCAGGATGGTTAAAAACTGTACACAATTATACCATCCCTAGCCACCCCCATGGACCATGTTGCTACTGATAATGCTGTTATTTGAAGGTACTGGGTAGGAATATAGATATTCTTGTGTATAGCAGCCAGCATTCTGCTCACTTACACTATGTATTGTATTCTAACAATAAGAGTAATAACATAACAGAGCTCATCTTATGTTCCATTGACTGTTCTAGGACATGCCAGGTAGTAAGTCATTTAAGCCTTAAAACTATCTTGTGAGATGGGTACCATCCCCATTTACAGTTGTGAAGACTGGTTACACATACCGGAGTCTGAGTAGTGGTACAGCTCCTTGTAGGGAGAGATGTGGGCTGTGAAATTTGCTGGGACATAAGGCACCTGGCCTTGAATGTTGGTCTTAATGCTCAGGTAGTTCTCCGAGTCGAGTCCCTCAGCAGTTTGAGTGACGCGAACCCTCTCCTCTCCCGGGTAGAATGTAACTTCCATGTCATGGATAAAGGCAGCACCTAGAGATGAGAAACATTCAGCATAGGGATGAAAAGAGGCCTTACTTAAACAGTTACCAGTACACACTGCCCACTCCCAATTTCTACTGCTCTTGGAGAGTGTGCATAAGGAGGTTATCTGATATCTGAGAGTAAGCACTATCAGCTGTTGATTCCACACCTTCCCAGACTTCTCCACTGAAGAATATGATTCCATCCTGCCTTACCTCACCCAGCTTCTCTCTGCACAAGCTTGCATTCTGAGAAACACTCCTGGGAACATCCTCGACTTTTCTCTAAGGTTGCTAGACTTAGCAGAAACAAACAAGCCTACCAACAACAAAAAAAAAACACCCAAGACATCCAGGGTTTTTTGACTGAATTTCAGATAAGTATGTCTCGTGCACTATTTCGGGGATACTCTTACTAAAAAGTTATTGTTTATGTGAAATACAAATTTAACCAGGGATACCATGTTTAATCTACTTTTGACCCAAAGTTTGACTCAAAGTTGGATGAAAGGCAAGAACCTATAAACAGCTACTGAGCTCTGCAGTTAAAGATAGGGGAAGAACTTTTCTCACAGAACTTTGTTTTTCATGCAATTAAGATAAAACCACTAGGAAACAAGTTTTCAGATGGGAAGGTAAGAATCCAACAAGTATCTTCTAAATCCTTGTCAGTAGGTGGCCTTTCCAGCAGCACTGGTACCTCCTAGAAGCTGGGTAGAAAAGCAGCGTCAGAGACCCCACCCCAGGCCTGCTGAACCAGAATTTGCATTTTGGCAAGACCTCCAGGTGGTGTGTGTGCAGGTTCAAGTCTGGGGCTCACCGGTCTATACTGTTACAAGTTGTGGAGCTGGGAGAAGGACACCCCTTCCCCATGAAGTAAAATCATCCCCAGGTGCCCCAAGTACTATCTTTGCATTTATTTGACAGATCTGTGCATAATTTAAAAAGCTTGACAAATATGCTTCAATAAATTGGAGTTAGAGGACATGAATGCTCTGAATGGAAACATCCTGTTTCTCAGAAGAGCTGGGAGAACACCGAGAAGAAATCGGTGCCTTTCAAAAATCAGTGATGTCAGATCAAACCGTTCCCCACAACCTCTGGCCGGAAAACTACATACATGTGGCTCTAGCACGTTAAGCAAGGGATTCCTCTTTCACTGTGTAAAGGCCCAATACTCTTCCCCAGGAGCACCACCGCCAAAGCAGTGCCGACTACCGGCCTTCTCAGAGGCCCTGCTCACCTGTGAGGCTGAAGCCATTCTCAGAGCCAGGTTTTTCTAAAGCAAAGAGCCAGCCAAACAGGCCTCCAATTGGTGTGAGGGGGAGGAGGGCCTGGGCTGCAGGCTGCGGGATGTGGCTGATGGCCGTATAGGCTCTGCCGTCATTGCCCACTACATAAGCATGCAGGTCCACATCAGTGAAGTGCACAGGTGTGTGGCCCACGTGGAGGTGACCACTTACTTTTCCATTCACTCGGTGAGGTGCCCCTAAAAGACAGAAAATCCAGTTAGGTTTGGGTATCATCCTGGCTAGAGATGGGTACTCACAGGTATATTTATTCCACTGACAACTTCCAAAACTCACTCTTTAGGGAATCATTAAAGTGACTTGCTAACCAACCAATTATCCATCTATGAAACAGTCCTGCCTCCAATCTGTCTTCTCCCCTCCTCCCCCTCTCCACTCCTCTTTGGCTCTAACAAGCTGGCAGAAGGAAGCATTTCTGGATAATCCTCAAATTGGGAATCAGCCCAAATCAGTTCATTCCTCAAACATTTATTGAGCACCTGCAAGTTGCTAGCACTCTGATTTAAGTAGTGGAGATGTTTGGTCTGTAAAGCAGAGCTCACAGTGGTAGCTGGAAACAGGTAAGTAGGAACAGACACAGGAGTCCCCAGCCCCAGTCAATCACCTTCGGGCAGACAGTGCCTCCCATTTCCATAAAACCTGGATTGGCAGTGGCAGCAGAAGCCAGTGGCATAGTCCGTGCAGAAGGCATGCTGGGAGCACTGTCTGTGGTTGTGTTCACAGGTTTCCTTGTTGGCACCATTATATGTGAAGACTGAAAAATAAAACAAACTTGCCTTAAAAGGATTAAATGATGCCAGTGTCAATGCTTCATCACGGACATAGCATCCGCTCCATGGAAGCAGCTTAGATCATAATAAACAAATAGGGTTTTGATGTTTAAGAGACCGGTGTAACATTCAACCCAAGGGAATTCACCTGCTTTATCTGCTGGCAAGAAGAATTGCTTACTGCACCTGGCTGGGTCTCACTGCAGAGTTGGTGAACTAAGATAAGCTGCACCCACGGGCTTCAGTGCAGTAAAATGAAAGCAAACCAGTAAGTACATGTTAGGTTGAACTTCATGAAACTGATATTTTTGTGGGTCAAAAAGGGCCAAATATCAGCACTTTTTCTTTCTTTCCTTTTTTTTTTTTTTTTTTTTTTTTAATGGAGTCTCGCTCTGTAGCCCAGCTAGAGTGCAATGGCACAATCTCATCTCACTGCAACTTCCACCTCCCAGGTTCAAGCAATTCTCCTACCTCAGCCTCCCGAGTAGCTGGGATCACAGGTGCCCACCAACGCGCCTGGGTAATTTTTGTATTTTTAGTAGAGATGGGGTTTCACCATCTTGGCCACGCTGATCTCCAACTCCTGACCTTGTGATCCACCCACCTTGGCCTCCCAAAGTGCTGGGATTTCAAGTGTCAGCCACCGTACCTGGCCCAAATATCAGAACTTTTATATGGTTCAACCTGAAGACATCCTGATAGGAAGACATAACAGAAAAGCTAACAAACGTCTTACGTCTAACCATCCTTCTTTTAGGTAACGCTAAACTTAAAAAAAAAAAAAAAAAAGATAATAGCCAGTCTCACTACCCAGATTGTTTTGAGGGAAGCATCTTAAAGAAAGAACACACGCACCTACCTCAAAGAAAGAGCATGGGAGAAGGAGATGGTGGAGGGCAAAATAACAGGGACTCAAGCTATTACAATGCTCTATGCCCGTGGCAGGGTTTGCTATGATGGATATGGTACCGGCATTATTTCCATGCTGTAGCAGACAGCTTGGACCCCACTCACAGATCTTCCAAGAAATTATGGAGAACCAGGATAAGCTCAATGCCCCAGCAGCTGTTTCTTCCATTTCCTACTTATTCTGCCCATTAAAAGAAGAGGGCCATCTGTGCTGCAGAGAAATGGGGAAATTGGGGCAAATGCCATGGTTCATAAAGGAATTGCACAAGGGGATGAGGTGTGGTGAGGGCTGTGAATGGACAGGAAGGTGCTTTCTCCAGGATGCTGGGGACTATGCCAATCCCAAGCATGGCCACCAGGAGGCCAAGCGGCTGCACACACCTCTGCCTCCGCATCCCCAGGAGCTGGGGTTGGCTGGAGACTCCAGGAGCACGCTGTTAAGCTTGGATGGCATGGAATTCTAGTGTGAGACACTGACACTGGCGTCAAGGACGCCCGACTCAGGAAAAACCACATGGTAGCTGTGTTCCTGGTCTGGATCTGCAGAGGAGGAGACAGGAGATGAAGGAAGAAATCCAAAGATCACTATTTATCCAGTATTCCCAAGGTGAACAGAAAACAAAGTAATGAGACATAGCACCACGTAGGTAACAATGTCACCAGGATAAAGACTTGCATCAGCAAAATAGAAAAAAGTTCACACTTAAATAGTCCTTAACATATACAAGCTTTACATTGATTAACTCTTAATTTGCACAACAACCCTATGTAGCAGGGACTTTATTTTTTCAGACAGGGTTTTGCTCTGCAAAACCAGTCTGGAGTTACCCAGGCTGGAGTGCAGTGATGCAATCTCAGCTCACTGCAACCTCGACTTCCCAGGCTTAAGTGATCCTCCTGCCTCAGCCATTCGAGCAGCCCCAGGCACAAGCAGGCACCACACCTGGCTACTTTATTTTTGTGTGTGGGGGGCAGGGAGGGGGGGGTGCCTCCCTGCATTGCCCAGGCTGGTCTCGAACTCCTGGGTTCAAGTGAACTTCCCACCTAGGCCTCCCAGAGTGCTGAGATTACAGGTGTGAGCCACTGCTCTGGCCAGGGACAATTTTTTAACCCCTGTTTGCAGATAAAGCTGAAACACAGTAGACTGAAGTGCCTGAAGTCACACAGGCAGTGAGTGGCAAAGAAGGGATGTGAACCTGGGAAGTCTAGTTCGAAAATCTTAACTGCTGCTCTCCATGACCCTTTCAGTGGGACCCAAGTATGGAGATCAAGAGCACTAGATTAGGGATGATCACATGTCTGCAGTTAATCAGTACAGACTTCAAGTATAATTTGAGTCGTACTTTATAAATCAGGTTTAATGGTAGAAGCGAGCAGGGAAGATGAGGTAGGTCAATCTTACAGCATGTTGAAAAACAGCACAGGTAAGAAGTCAGAATAGCAGCAGCGGCATTAGCTTTTGGACTGGAGTACTGCCTGCAGATCCTCGGCAAAGCAGCAAGCTGAGGGTTGGCAAGACAGTGTCGGCTCAAGTGGAAAATCTGATTGGAACATAGTAAGAATGAAGTTGGGACTCGAGATTTAGTTTAGGGCCTTGGATGACTTGGCTGAGAAATTCCAGTTCGATAAAAATAGAAAATTAGGCATGACTCAACTTTATTTAAACAAGAAAGTGACAGGCTTAACTTGAAAAAACAAAAAGTAATATAAAACTCAAGGCAGAAAAAAACACCCAGGATGGATCATGGTAAAACAAACTGCTGAGAAGAAAACTGTATCGCTATAGTTGGTTTAAGAAAGGGGGAAAAACATTTTGAATAAAAAGAATGTAACTTAGAAGTGTCAAAATAAGGCTTCTCCAGTTCAGAAATTCACAGCTAAGTGTAAGGAAGCAGCGCCCGGAGGAACTCGCATACTCTCAGTGTGTTCACGGCTTAAGGGCCATCAGGACTTTCTCCCAGAGTTCAAGGGATGAGGGGCTGCAGAGGTGCCAGGCTCTAGGACTCAACCTCAGCCCGTCCTCGTCCTCGGGGGCTCTGTGGAGACTGTGCAAACCGTCTTTCAGCTTCCTCATCTCTAAAATCAATGTACCACCTCTTCCTCGCACCTGCATTGCCAGAAGTTGCCTTTCTTCTTAACGTGCTTCTGAACACCAAATAAAAAGGCAATTTGCTACAGGTCTAAAGAGTAGTCATTTTCAGAAAATTCAGATTAAAAAAAAAACAATCCCAATTCTACACACAGTTCTGCCCACAAATTAAGGAAATAATGGGCTCGGATTGTACCCCATCTCAGCTATTTTGTGAGGCCCTGTTCTGCAACCCAATTCTTATTCTAAGACTGATTTACCAAACAGGGAGAGAGAAGATGGAGGAGATAAAGTATAGATGTGGAGAGTTAACTCTAGTAGGTGGAGTCATAGCTTTTATCTAGGTAAAAAGAGGTACAGCGATGCAGCCAGCAACTTACAAGTGCGACTGTACAACAGTTTAGAAATTGACTGGAAGCCAGACTAAGTTTTTATTATATTAAAAAATAATAATGATGAGTAGGCTCCCATGAAAGGCTATCATGAGACTCAAACCGTAATTACAAGGGGTTAACTAGTTACTGGTAAGCTAACTTGGGAGTCTTTTTAAATCGTTTTTTTGTGGAATATTGTATTTTTACGATGGTACTTACCGAGCAAGAACCCACACTCTCCCACCTTCATGACAGTCACGTGGGGCGGGCGGGAAAGAGGATGAACCAGCCCCCTAATCCGGGGGAACGGCAAGGCTCCATTTATAATCCCTGTTCCACACCTGCCTTCATAACCAGGTGCACACACAGGTTTGCACACTTCACATTTACAATGGCAGCTTGTTAGGTGAAAGGTAAATGCTTATTACAATTTTTGTTCATTCATTCACTAATTCAACAAGCATTTACTAACCTTTCACTATAGACCTGGCCCTGGTCTAGAAACCGAGAATATAGCAGAGAGCAAAAGAGACAAAAATTCCCGTCCTGAAGCTTATGTTCTCCCCAACAGCAGTCAATAAGCAAGAAAATTACTTAGTGTGGTGGATATGTTAAGAGCTGTGCAGAGAAATACAGCAGGGAAAGACAAGAGGTGGGAGTGGGGAGGTATACGTGGGGCTCTTTTAAATAGCATGGTCAGGGAAGACCTCCGAAGACGGTGACTGAGCAGAGGCCAGGAGGAAGTGGGGGTGTGAATCCCTTAGATGAGGGCAGGCAGGGTGCTGTGTCAGGCAGGAGGAGTGTGTGGGCCTGTGGGAGGGACAGTGAGAAGAGAGATGGCCTGGGTCATTGATGCAGGGCCTTAGAGATCACAGGAAGGATTTCGGCTTTCATCTGAGTGAGATGGGAAGCACTCAAGGGTTTGGAGCAGAAGAGGAACCTGCTCTGACTACGGAAAATCAGGCAGGAGCTGGAGCCTTGGTAGTAAAAAGCGCTGGTACAGAGAATGAGAAGGGCCCAGGCCCGGGATATTCTGAAGGTGGAACGGAGAGGGCTTGCTGAAGGATTGGATGTGGGATGATGCTCAGTCCTTATGTGGGAAACCAAAAGGGTGGAGCTGTCAGTTACTGAGATAGGGAGACTGAGGAGGAGCAGGTCTGTGGGGCTCAGTTCTGACAACGTGAGGTGTCAAGGAAATTCACCAAGGGGTGAATGATAACTTACCCTCTCAGCACAGCACCATGCAGTCGTTCACACGGAGAGCTGCATTTCTCCCCGTAGATTCCAGGGACCACTGCATCAGGATCACCTGAGGGCCCACCTTAGCCCTACCAATTCCACGAGCTGCGTGCATCCTCATCTACACTTTAGCCACCCCTGCAAGTGATTCTCAGACCAATTGGTGTTGCTTGGGATACTCACAAGCCTTGGATTTCTGAGCTAGGTGTTGCTCATTAATATCATTAGCAAATTTAATCTGACGAATTAGCAACTCCTGGGGTGGGTAGAATGTTAGGAAATGCTCTTATGCTCATTCCTGGCCATCTGAGAAGTGGAGATCAAGTGCTGACGGCTCACTGGGGCATTTATCCACAAGAATGCAACGTGAAGA